TTCCTCGCGCTCCCGTCAAGACGATTCATTTTTGTGATATTGCCTTTCCTTATCACGCCTAGGTTTCCTCTCATGCCTAGGTTGAAGCGCGTTCCTTTGTGCATGATAGGTGTTTTTTCTATCAATACGGGGCCTGCAGGTTCTTCATGATATGGCCTTGACAGGCAATTCTCTGTTCCATGACTGTTGGTTCGATGGTAGGTGCAGTATTTTCTGTCCCTAGGCTCCCTATTTCTCCCCATACCTCTTCCCATAGATTGATTCGATTGTCTTTGAGCTTCAACTTCGACCATTTCATATGCCAAAGATGGCACTGCATTTAACGTGGCAGTGACCAGTGCTTGGCCTCAAGTGGGGACGATTGTATGTCCCGCTTGGGTCCATTAATAGTCCACTAAGTGTGATATGGGACCTCGCCGCTGTCTCTGAGGTGGTGGGAGTCCCAGTGAAGTTCGATTGGGTGATCAATGAGCTCTTCGTTGACAATCTCACTTCTCATCATTTTCACTAAGGCATCATAAGAGGCAAGGTTCTTGTTTCGAACATCCCTCTAAAATAGGGTGTTCATGTTGAGGTCTCTTCTTAGAGCAGAAAGAGCCTTTCTATTCTTAACCTGCTCACAATAAGTCATCTCGTCCATGAAGCGGGCCAAGTAGCTTTTCAAAGTTTCACCGGCTTGCTGCCTCATGTTCTACAACCATTAGATGGGGGCTTCACCTTCTTTGCTAGATAAGTATTAGTTCAAAAATGCCTTTTTGAGGTCTGACCAACTCCTAATGCTGCCGGTTGGGATAAGGCTATACCAATTTTCTGCGGCCCCTGTTAATGTGAGATGGAAAGCTCTGCATTTTAGCACTGGCGAGGCCCCTCGCAGGGACATGTGAGTCTTGTAATTATAGAGGTGCTTCGCCGGATCACCATTTCCCTCGTATTTGGGTATTTTGGGAGGTACAAAATGACTGGGAAATGGGGCTAGGCTTTTGTCATCATTATCTAACTCAAAAACGACCTGCATGGACCGTCGAAATCATCTTCCTCTGCCTAACAACGAGGGGGTCACGACGCTTCTGGTTGATTCCTCAAGTTTGCCTCGTCTCTTCTTCTGGCCTATTTCTAGGTGGAGGGAGAGGAACCCTCTAAGGTTCATATCTTGGATTTCGTTCGGCCCCCTTTGTATGGGAGACGGCTATATGGACCTATTTCTAGGCCTTGATGTTCCAATTCTGTCGAACACACTAGTGGATCTTTGTGGTTCGCGTTCTTGAGCGTATTGTGGGGGAAAATTTCATGTAATATGTTATCCCCAGGTCGGCTAGTTGTGTAATTGGTGGAAGTGTCCATCCCCACCTCCCTCGCCGCTGGGCTGATCTCCCTTCTGTGCATTTGGGGGTAGGCTACCGTGTCATTTTCCTCGACTTCTTAAGCTATCGCTCCCTATTGATGTACTTGGTACCCCGCTTGTTGATGCATTTGCATGAGTACTTGTTGCATGCTGGCATTCTACTGTGC